GCGGTGAGGAGAGACGCGGCGCCGGCGCCGATCATGGCGAACGAGGTCCACCCGGGCGCGTTGGCACTCGCCCGCCGCTCCGCTGCTGCGGCCGGCGTCGAGGCGCTGATTGACTTTTCGCACGGGTGCTGCTCCGAGTACGTCCCGCCGCAAGCGTGGCTGCGTCTCGAGGACGTGTCCGGGACGCGTCCACGACGCGTCCACGACACGTCCACGACACGTCCACGACACGTCCACGACACGTCCACGACGCGTCCACGACACGTCCACGCGCTCGCACGGGTAGGTTGCGCGCGTGACGGGGACCCTCACCCTCGCGCCCGTCTCGCTGGTGCACGCCGCACCGTCTCACAGAGCAGACGAGCTCGAGACGAGATCGAACGAGATTTTCCCGTCTCGCTGCACGCCGCGGACACGCCCACGACACCCGCGACACGCCCGCGACACGCCCGCGACATGTCCACGACACGCCCACGACACCCGCGACACGCCCGCGACATGTCCACGACATGTCCACGACACGTCCACGACACCCGCGACACGCCCGCGACATGTCCACGACATGTCCACGACACGCCCACGACACGCCCACGACACGCCCGCGACACTCCCACGACACGCCCGCGACATGTCCACGACACGTCCACGACACGCCAACGACACGTGACACGTCCACGACACGTGACACGTCCACGACACATGCCCAAGGTGCACGCGCCGAAGTCTCTGCTCGCTCTCGCGCTGCCGACGTCGCGGCAGCAGGCGCGCCGCGCCGAGATTCGCCGAGATTCGCTGAGGTTCGCCGACATGCGCCCGACATGCGCCCGAGATTCGCCTAGATTCGCCAAGATTCGCCGAGATTCGCCGAGATTCGCCCGAGGTTCGCCGATGTTAGCCGAGGTTCGAGAGATGTGGGTCGGGTCCGGATAGGCGACCGAGCCGGGCCGGTTCAACGTGACGCACCAGATCAAGAAGCTCTCGTTCGGGCGCGACTTTCCGGGGCGCGGCGGAGCCCGCGGCGGCGGCGGCACTGCGGGCGTGAACGGCGTCTCTTCACACCTCTGGCCGTGGGCAGGCAGCAGAGCCCGCTCGACGGCGCGTGGACGCACTCGCCGGGCGGCGCGGCGGTCGCGCGCTATTTCCTCAAGGTGCGTCACACTCCCCTCCACGCCCCACGCCCCACGTGCGCCCTTCTCCTCCTTCGAATGCGTGCACCTTCGGCGCGTGCACTTTCGCCCTGTTGGGACCCCCCCCCCCCCACCACCACCCCCCACCCCCACCCCCACACACACTTCCCCCGCCAAGGTTGTGCCGACCACGTACGAGTTCCTCTCGGGCGAGGCGCTGCACTCGAGCCAGTGCTCGACCTCGCGGCACCTCAAGCTCGAGCTCTGAGCTCCTAATTAAGTCGTCGACGAATTATATAATAGGTACTCGACCTCGCGGCACCTCAATCTCGAGCTCTGAGCTCTTAATAAAGTCGTCGACGAATTATATAATAGGTACTCGACCACGCAGCACTTCAAGGAGCTCGGGCCCGACTCCGCGCTCACGCCGTCCGTCCAGTTCACCTTCGAGCTCACGCCGCTCCGCGTGAGCAAGCGCGAGGAGCGCGGCGGCTCGCTGCTCGTCTTCCTCACGCGGAGCGCCGCCGTCATCGGCGGGCTCTTCACGGTGGCGGGCATCGTCGACTCGGCGTGGTACCACTCGTCGAGGCACCTCATCAAGATGAGGCAGGGCAAGGCCGCCTGACGCTAGGGACCGTCCAGAGAGTCGGACCGTGCGCAGGCGCTGTGCGCCCGCAGAGGGCACCCACGATGCGCGTCTTCATTTCCCTCGTACGTGTGACAATATCGTGCGTGGTGTGTGAGATGGAGATGGTTTGATTTTGTCCAGCGCGAGTTAAACGAAATGCCCTCGGTGCACGCGTTTACGATCTTTCTACGGCGACGTATTAAACTTGTTACTGACGTAACTGCTGCCCAGTTGCTCTCTGAAAGTGTCCTCTCAACGACCAAAGCGTACTTTTCAGCGGTGGCGCCGGTGGGGCCGATGACGCTATGGCTGAGCACGAGGGGTCTCAGCACGAGACAGCACCCCTGCAGAAAAACGCACAAAGAAATAACCCGGCAAAGGTGCTGTGCACGTCCCCCACTGTGCCGTCCTCTCTGAATCCACACTCCAGGGCCAGTTTTACCCCCCCCCCCCCCCCTGGCCATTCGCGATCTCCCAACTCGGGCGGGAAAGCGCACGCCCTTTGAGAGTTCAGACGGTAGATGAGCGGTCTTCCGCCTATCCCAGCAGCCCCCGAGCGCAAACAACCCCGCCTCCTCCTCGGTCCCGAACCGCAAGTCGGGCGGGGTTCGTAAGGCCCCGGGTCCGGATGGAACTCGCGATCGCGCCCCCGGACGCCGATTCAGCCTCCCCCGGGCCAGGTTCGAGCGCACCTCCCGCGCCCGAGTGCACTTATGCTACACAAACCCACAGCACCGTCAGCGTGTATTCTGGGCCGGATCGAGCAACTCTAGCACCCTGCCCACCCGCTCCGTGCGAAATGGACCAATCCGACCGAGAGAGAATCCCTGGGGGGGGGGGGGGGGGGGGCGCATTGTCGCCAATTCCGCCCTCTCTCACGGCAGGAGACCTGGCGCCCTTTCGGCCAGAGGTACGGCCGCCGCCGCCACGCGTACCCAAGCCCATCCCGGAGGACCGCTTCTATGCTCGACCCCAACCCGCACCGGCGGCCGCGCCGTCCTCACTCCCACCCGAGGCGGCGGCAACGCACGCGCCGCCAGTGCCACGGGCGCAGATGGCGGAGCTTGGGACGCAGAAGGTCGCGGTAGCGGGACTCGCGAGGAGGCTGCTTCAGCGGCCGCCGGCCGGGACCGGCCGAACGTGGCGCATGACGCTCAAAGTCACGGTCCCCGTGCCCCTCTACCTCCAGTGCGTGCCCCACCCTCCGAGCGCGCGCCAGAGTGCAGAGTGCCCGCTTGCATCACCTATCGACCCCTCCTCCGCCGCAGGCACGCGGTGCTCGCCCAGGATGTTGGCAGCGTCGCGGAGCTGCTCGAGGCGGTCGCCATGGGCGGCCTCGAGGAGCTCGGCCTCAGCCGAGTCGTGCAGCGGCTTCTGTGCCGCTGCCTGCCGGAGCTGAGGAGCCGCGGCGCAGCTGATGCGGCTTTGGACTCCTTTGCCTCTTTGGCTGACATCCGCCGCGGCGGAGCTGGGAGTGGCTCTGCTGGCGAGGAGCGCGGCGGCGGGGCAGCGGCTGGCGGCGAGGGCCGCGGCGGCGCGCGCCCCCAAGAGGCGGACGGCGGTGCCTGCGACGCGCAGGCCGCAGAAGGTGGAGCCGGGGGTGGGACCAAGGGATCCAGTTTGGACCCCTTGGAGCCCGCGCTGCCGGAGAGCGGCGATGGTACGATCGCCGCCGCGGGGGGGGAGGAGGAGGTCGAGGGCGGGCGGAAGGCGCCGCGGCGCCGCCGAGGGCGGCGCGGCCGTGGCGCCAGGGGTCGCGGAGGGGGGCTCGAGAAGGTGCCCGACACCGCGGCGGGTTTGGCTGCTGAGCGGCCCAACCCAGTGGCCGAGGAGGTTTCCGTCGGCGGCGCGGCGCCGGCGGAGGGGGAGGAGGGCGGCCCGCCCTCGCTCGCTGCTGATGATCCTGGACGTGCCCACTTTGCGCGACCGCCGGCCTGCATGCGCCCGAGTTCGTCTCGGACGGCGCCGGCGCTCCGTCCCTTTTCCAGTGTGACCACGGGGTTGTCGACGGCGGGCGGGGCGGCCGCTGCGGCGGAGGCGGGGGGCGGGGCCCCTCGCTCTCCTACGGTGTTGCTAGGCGAGGATGGGCGGCCCTGCTCGGCGGAGGAGGCGGAGGAGGAGGCTCGCCGTCGGGGCTGGTCGGCGCGCGAGGCGGCTGTCGTGATGGAGTGCCGCCTCATCGAAGCGGGCGGTGGGGGGCGGTGCAGCGCTTGCTGGCTGGAGCTCGATGCGATTGCGGCGCGGCTGCGTCGCTACCTCGGCGATTCTGACCCGGGCGCTTACTCCATCGACTTCTTCTTATCGAGGCCGGAGGGCTTCGGCGCGCGCGGGGCGGCCGCGGAGGCGGCGTTTAGGCGGCTCTCGGTCGAGGAGCGCGACGAGGTGGTCGCGGCGCTCGTGGCGGAGTTCAAGGCGGGGGAGCGGGAGGGATTGCGTTGCTGGGACGCTGGGCGCGGTTCTGTTTGCGGTGTCCCATTCCCGGGGTGGGAGGATTGGGTGAGGGAGGGGCGGGTCCTCCTCGTTGAGTGGGACCTGCAGGCGTTGTAAAATTCTTTTGTCGCGATGTCCACCCCGCCGCGCCGCCGCTCGCGCCGCCTTGCCTCCACCGCCGCCACCGCTCCCCCGCCAGACGCGCCGCCGCCCGCCCGCCTGCGCCTCCTCGACCTGCCCACGGACCTCCTCGTACGCGCCCTCTCTCGCTGCGACCCCTCCGACATCACTCGCGTCGCGGCCGTCTCGCTGCTCTTCCACGCCTCACTTGCGCTGGAGGGCATCCGCTTGCGCCTGCAAGAGGCCGGCTACGAGCCGCCGGCGCAGCCGGAGGGCGAGAGCTGCGCCGTGCGGTGGCTGTGTCTCGCTGCCTTGCTGCGCGAGTCCAACCCGCCAGTGAGGGCGTCGACAGGCCGCTCCCACAGCCTCTTCATCGACGGCGAGGGGCGGCTCTCGTCGTGCGGAAAGGCCGAGAACTGGACGCCGGGACTGCTCGGGCACGGCGAGGGCGTGACGCAGCTCAACACGCCGACCCGCCTCCCTTCCCCGCTGGGCGCCGAGCGTGCTGTGAGCGTGTCGGTAGGGGATGAGCACAGCCTCGCCCTCACCGGCAGCGGCAGTGTCTGGAGCTGGGGCAGCGGATACAACGGCAAGTTGGGCCACGGCGACGATCAGGCCCAGTGGCAGCCGAAGAAGATCGAGGCTTTGGTGGGGAAGCGTGTCGTCGCTGTCTCGGCTGGAGATAACCACAGCCTCGCCGTCACCGCCGACGGAGCCGTCTGGAGCTGGGGCTGGGGAGCCTATGGCCAGCTGGGCCACGGCGACCGGCAGGAGCAGCTGCTGCCCAAGAAGGTCGAGGCTCTGGCTGACCAGCGCGTCATCGCTGTGTCGGCCGGAGGCAACCACAACCTCGCCCTTACCGCCGACGGCGCCGTCTGGAGCTGGGGCCGTGGAGGCTTTGGCCGGCTGGGCCACGGCGACGCGCAGAACCAGCTGCTGCCCAAGAAGGTTGAGGCCTTCGCTGACCAGCGCGTCCTCGCTGTGTCGGCGAGAGAGGACCACAACCTCGCCCTCACTGCCGACGGCGCCATCTGGAGCTGGGGCTATGGAGGTGCGGGCCAGCTGGGCCACGGCGACCAGCAGGAGCAGCTGCTGCTGCCGAAGAAGGTCGAGGCCTTGGCTGGCCAGCGCGTCGTCGCCGTGTCGGCTGCAATGTCTCACAGCCTCGCCCTCACCGCCGACGGCGGGGTCTGGAGCTGGGGCGATGGAGAGGATGGCAAGCTGGGCCACGGCGACGAGCAGCAGCAGCTGCTGCCGAAGAAGATCGAGGCGTTGGCTGGCCAGCGCGTCGTCGCTGTGTCGGCGGGATTCGCGCACAACCTCGCGTTCACCGCCGACGGCGCCGTCTTCACGTGGGGCGAGGGCGAGCGCGGCTGCCTAGGCCACGGAGAGGACCTGTCGGACCAGGTGCTGCCGAAGAAGATCGAGGCGGGGGCACCAGGAGCGGGGCGGTAGTGTGAAGGGACAAGGCGGTGCGTCGCACCAGCCTTCCGGGGACTCGGCGAACGTTGTGTCCGACTGTCGATCTCTGTCTGTGGGTGAACCTTTGTCTTGGGTGCGCACCGAGCAGGGTGGCCCGCCTGCCCGCCGTGTCGAAGAAAACCCAATAAATAAGTAAATTAGGTCTCCAGGAAGAGGCAAAGGCGCCTCGTAGGTTTTTCTTTTTCTCGCGATGTCCACCCCGCCGCGCCGCCGCTCGCGCCGCCTCGCCTCCGCCGCCGCCGCCGCCGCACACTGCCCCCTCACCGACCTGCCCCTCGAGCTTCTCGCGCGCGTCATCTCCCGCTGCGACCCCGCCGACATCGCTCGCGTCGCGGCCGTCTCGCTGCTCTTCCACGCCTCGCTTGCGCTGGAGGGCATCTGCTTGTGGGCGCAAGAGCGCGGCTTCGAGCTGGCGGCGCAGCCAGAGGGCGAGAACTGCGCCGTGCGGTGGCTGTGCTACTCGGCGCTGCTGCGCGAGTACAACCCGCCGGCGAGGGCGGCGGCAGGCGAACAGCACAGCGTCTTCATCGATGGCGAGGGGCGGCTCTCGTCGTGCGGGGCGGCTGAGAACTGGACGCCGGGCCTCCTTGGCCACGGCGAGGGAGTGACGCAGCTCAACACGCCGACCCGCCTCCCTTCCCCGCTGGGCGGCGAGCGCGCCGTGAGCGTGGCGGCTGGAGGTGTGCACAGCCTCGCCCTCGCCGCCAACGGCAGTGTTTGGAGCTGGGGCTTTGGTCTCTACGGCCGGCTGGGCCACGGCGACGGGCAGGAGCAGCTGCTGCCGAAGAAGGTCGAGGCCTTTACCGGGCAGCGCGTCGTCGCTGTCTCGGCTGGAGATAACCACAGCCTCGCCCTCGCCGCTGACGGCACTGTCTGGAGCTGGGGCGATGGACACTATGGCAAGCTGGGCCACGGCGACCTGCAGCACCAGCTGCTGCCCAAGAAGGTTGAGGCCTTTGCTGACCAGCGCATCCTCGCTGTGTCGGCTGGAGCTTACCACAGCATCGCCATCACCGTCGACGGCGCTGTCTGGAGCTGGGGCGAAGGAGTCTTTGGCCAGTTGGGCCACGGCGACCTGCAGCACCAGCTGCTGCCGAAGAAGATCGAGGCCTTTTCTGGGCAGCGCGTCGTCGCTGTGTCGGCGGGAGGCGAACACAGCCTCGCCCTCACCGCCGACGGCGCTGTTTGGAGCTGGGGCTCGGGCGAGCGAGGCAAGCTGGGCCACGGCGACGAGCAGCGCCAGCTGCTGCCAAAGAAGGTCGAGGCCTTGGCTGGGCGGCGCGTCGTCGCCGTATCGGCCGGAATCACGCACAGCCTCGCCCTCACCGCCGACGGCGCCATCTGGAGCTGGGGCAGTGGACGCGATGGCAAGTTGGGCCACGGCGACGAGCAGCAGCAGCTGCTGCTGCCGAAGAAGGTGGAGGCGTTGGCAGGGCGGCGTGTCGTCGCAGTGTCTGCTGGACTCGCGCATACCCTCGCCATCACCGCCGACGGCGCCGTCTTCACGTGGGGCCAGGGCGAGCGCGGCTGCCTAGGCCACGGAGAGGACCTGTCGAACCAGCTGCTGCCCAAGAAGATCGAGGCGGGGGCGCCGGGGAGCGGGGCGGTAGTGTGAAGGGACATCCGGGGACTCGGCGAACGTTGCCTGTCCGACTGTCGTTCTCTGTCTGTGGGTGAACCTCTTTGTCTGTGGGTGTGAGCAGGGTGGCCCGGCCGCGCCGGCCGCGCCGCCGCCGCGGGCGAGCCCGCCGAGTCGTGCGCAGGTGATGCGCGGGGTGGCGGCGGGGGAGGCGTCCGCGGACAACGATCGCGCATGCCGGCGCCGCCGCCCGGTCATGTGACAATAAGACGATTCGTTAACTTGAGGCTTGAGCCGCTTGGACATACACGTACCTCGAGTACAAAAAAGTAGCGGCGGACAAACTGGCCGGCGCGTGCTCCGCGGGGTTGTTGCGCACGAGTATATGGGCCACGATGTCTCAAATATGAGGGGTTTTGACTCCTACCGGCTCCTGACGCTATCCCTGGCAGCTCTAATGACCAGGGTCAGTAGTGTTGTGATAGATGGTGCCCATACTAGCGCAGGAGCTGCCACACTCGCCCGGACCGTCCCCTTCTGGGGCCGGTTCCGCAGCCCGCGAGAGCCGACAGCGGGGCCGTGCCGCAGGTGCCTACTGCCGAGTGCCACAAACACTGCGCCGTCCCGCCATCACCTACAGGCTGTCTTGTGGGATGGTTGGGATGTCCAAACGCCACCATCTTGGCTCTTGCGACCTCAAACCCTCGAGCTGTATGGGTGGTCCTGACGTCGACAGACGCCCGAGGACCATGGTGAAGCTGAGCCGGAACGCGTCGACAGGTCTCGCCTGAGCCCGTGGCGGTCGCCGGCTGAGTCGCCGTGCACGAGCCGGTACCTCAGGCGTCACCTCCGCAGCCTCAGGTCTCACACTCCATCACCTCCGCCGGGACGCCTTCGGTGTCACGCTCGGCGGCGAGTTTGTTGCAGCCCCACAGCGAGCGCGGCGTCGAGCCTACTCGGTCTGGTCGGTTCGCGGCACTCACTGGGTGCCAGGGAGTGCCGCCGACACGCGAGCGGTGCCTCCCGGCAGCGCGCGCCGGCTGTGGGGCTGCACCAAACTCGAGGGACGCTTTTTTGGGAGAGACGCTTTTTTGGGCCCATACTGGTGCAATACAACCCCGCGGGGAGACCCGCAGCCGCACTCCCGCACTCCCATCTCCAACTTGAGAAGACACCACATACCCGTTTTGGATGTCTGCGGAGTATTTGGTGGCGGCGTCCGTCCTCCCTTGGCTTTTGCGCTCCCCACTCCCCCCTCACGAGAACCTCTCACACCTGGACATGCACCGGCGCGCCGGCGCGCTAAAGCGCGCTCACACCCTCGCCACGTGTTCAGACTCCGCGATCGGGGTCCCGACGACGATCGGCGGCCCGGAGAACTCCACCCCAGGGCGGGGCGGGCGGGAGCCGCTCTCCGCCTCGTACAGCGCTCGCATCGCCGCCTGGTCGGCCAGCCGCCGCGCCTCCTCGGCGGCCGAAGGGCTGCCTGGTGCCGGTTCTGGCGGTGGGGCGTCCGAGAGCCGCGACCTCGCCGAGAGGAGAGCGGGCTCTGGCGCGGTCGCCTCCTCGAGGGAGAGGCCTACGCTCGGCGCGGAGGTGTGAAGAGACGGGGTGCGTGGGGGGGGGGGCGCGACGCCGCTCTCGCGAGGTTTCGGACGCCCGTGGACTCGACGACGGAGGTGTAGTAGAACGCGGTGACGACGAGGCCGACGGCGGCGTAGAGGCCGAACGCGGCGGCGGGCCCAATCGCGCACTTGAGCGACAGGAAGGTGAGGGCGATGGTGCCGGAGCCGACGCGGTTGCAAAAGACGGAGAGCGAGACGACCTTAGCGCGGAGGTGGAGCGGGAGCATCTCGGAGATGACGACGAAGGTGAGCGGCCCCGGCCCGAGCGAGAAGGAGAGCATCGCGAGGCAGAGGGCGGCGGCGGAGGCGGAGACAGGCCAGTGGAAGAGGAAGCGGAGCCCGATGAGGGCGGTGAAGGCGGCGAGGGCCAGGTTCGACCAGATGATGGTGGAGCGGCGGCCGAGCGTGTCGACGAGCGCTGCCGCCACGAGCTCGCCTCCCCCCACAGACAAGGACACTGAGAATGAGAAGTGAGACTAGCAGAATAGCGGTAGTAATCAATAGCAGTCTTCATGAGCTGCCGCCGCGAGCTCGCCTCCCAAGGAGTAAGAACAACCGTACGACCCTGAGTGGTAGCACTCTACTGCCAGTACTACTACTGCCAGTGCTACTCCGCGCGGGTGTCGCCTCCCAGCTTGCAGGCCCCCACTCCGAGCGAGACGAGGAAGACCACCTCTGCGCTCGTGCAGCCCGCGCCGTCGCCAGCCGCCTCCTTGGCCAAGTCGGGAGGAGGCGAGGCGCTCGCGTGGCAGACGCCCGACGACTCGCCTGTTCACGGCCGCGAGAGCTGTGAAGAGGCGCTGCGCACGGCCAAGAGGGTGCTCCCGCACCGCCCGCCCTCGCGCCCGCGTCTGGGGGGAGGCACTGGTTGAGGATGCGGGGCGTGTAGTACAGGATTGCCTGAGGCGTACCACTGACCACCGTTATGAGGAGTCGGAATGACGCTGCGGGGCGTGTAGCGCAGGATCGCCTCGGTGCCGGTGACCTGCTGCGCCAGGCCGAGGGCGAGAGAGAGGGCGACCAGCCGCCGCTCCTGAGCATGACCAATTCAAGAGCGATTGATCAACCAATCAGCGAGAGAGAGGGGGGGGGGGGGGGGCACCTACAGAAAGGAGACACCGCCACACCTCACGAACCCAGAAAGCGCTGAGACGCAGGCTCGCCGCCGGCCGCCGCGCCCGGCTAGTCGGCGGGAAGAGCGAGTCCCGCCACGAGGCGACGGCGCCGGTGGTGTGGGAGGAGCCATCCGCCGCCGCCGGCTCCGCCCCAGCACCGCCCGCCTCGGCTGCGCTCGCCGACGCCGCCCCGCCCGCCGCGCCGCCCGCCGCGCCGCCCGCCGCGCCGCCCGCCGCGGCGCGAGACGCGCCTGCCTTTGGCGCCGGCGGCTCGAGCCGGCGCATCACTGCGGCAGCCTCCTCCTCCCGCCCTGCGCAGGCGCGGCGAGGGGGGCGGTCAGGGAGACGGTATGGTGCGGTGGGGGCTCGCCCTCCCTCTGCCTTCTCCTCCCCTCCCTCTGCCCTCTCCGCCGCCCTCCGCCTGCGAGGTGCAGCCGTCTCCCTCCCTCGCCCCCACTCCTTCCCTCGCCCTCCCCTCGCCCCCTCCTGCCCTTGCCCCAGCCCCCCTCCTTGCCCCCCTCGCCTGCCATGTGCAGCCACCGAGGCGACTCGGGCAGCCACGGGCAAGCAGCAACGTACAGGAGCGGCAGCACCACCGACAGGCCCATCGCCAGCCTCCACCGCAGGTCCGGCGCACCGGGCAGCGCCTATTCTCGCCCTCATCTCGCCGTCACCCCACCGGCGCTCGGCCCCGCCCGCAGCACGCCTCCGGGCGGGCGCGGCTTGCCGTGTTGATGGAGCGGTCGACGGCGTAGCCGATGAGGATGCCGACGTTGATGCCGATGTCCGAGACGGCGACCAGCCCGCCGCGGTACTCCTTGGGCGCCAGCTCCGCGATGTACACCGAGCAGGCGCACCATGCGCAGCCCGACCCGAGTCCTTGGAGCGCGCGGCCGAGGAGCAGCACGCCTGGGGAGGAAGGGAGGAGGGCGGGCTCGGCCGGAGAGGCGCGCGGGAGCGCGACCCGACGCGAGGGCACGCCAAATGAGTTGGCGAGCGTGACGAAGGCGCCGCCAATCACGAGCAGCAGCGACGAGACCATCAGCGTCGCCCGCCGGCCGAGGGAGTCCATCACAAAGCCTGCGCCAGCGAGCGCGCCGATGCCGGAGACAAAGTTGAGACCCGACGTGGCGAGCTCCTGCTCGCTGAGAGACAGGTCGAGGCTCCCGGCCATGTCGAGGAGAGAGCCCGAGACCACGCCGACGTCATAGCCAAAGGCCATGTTGTTGAGCGACGCGATGATGCTGACAAGGAGGACTCGCCAAGGGAACGGCGGCGAAGGAGGTGAGTCAGTGCTTTCCATTGTGGTCATCAAGCGCTCGCTTAGGGCCTGAATGTTGGCTGGACGCTTGAGTCCAAACAAAGACCACGGCCGCACACACCTGTGCAATGGTAAAAAGAATTTTACCGAAACTCGCTCGCACGACACCGTACCGTCCTTGCGCGAGGGGAGCTCGATAGACTCGAGGGGCCAGGATACGCCGCGAGGAGGACGGAGTTGCGCCGAAAGGCGAAAGAAGCCGCGAGAACAAGGGACCGGCAGGCGGCGGCGCCGCAGGACGAGACAGAAGAGAACGACGCGACAGAGGAGGAAGTGACAAGGGAGAGAGCGACGAGAGTGGGACGGCCGCGAGGTGGCACGAAGGTTGAAGCGAGAATCGGAGAGAGACTGCGAAGAGAGATAGGAAGAGGCAGACTCCCTAGGGTAGGCGACGGCTAGCGCATCACACTCCTCTCCTTAAAATCCCTGTGTGGTGGCGGCGTCGGCCACCACCTCCACTGCGGCCACCACCCGGAGCGACGGCGGCGCCCCCACCAATGGAGGCAACCGCGCCGAGGCTGCAGTGCACCCGACAAACCTTTTTACCCATCTCACAGTAGAGGTGTTCGTTTTATTTATTTATTTACGGGGTGTGGAGGGTGAGTTGAACAGAGGGTTGTGCGCCAAGCCCTCCTGCTCGGCTCCAGCCGGTAGACAAGTCTTGTCATCAACAGAGAGAAAGAAGAGAAAGAAGAAAAAAATCTCTCTCAACAGAGTAGATGGATCTGACCTCGGGGCGATGTGACCAAGCGCTGGTAGCGTGGTTTTACCTCACACCCATGGTCTCACAGTGTGCCGGCAGTCGCCGAGCAGTGTCGCTCACACAAGCCGCAGCACAAGTGACTGAGGGCCAGTGAGGGCGAGCCCATCGCTGTCACAGCTGTGGCAGCCGCACAGTAGGCTGTGTCAGCTGTGCAGAGTGTGTGAGCAGCAGAGGAGCTGCTCTCCAGGCTTCTGTCGCAAAGAGCTGCATGCCACCGAAAGCGCTGTCGAGGTTCGCCGAGCGCGGCGCAGGTTGAGGGACACCGTGGTCACCGACGAGCGCGTTGGAGTATTCACTCCGGACAAAGACGGTCTGAATTCTCTCTCTCTCTCTCTCTCTCTCTCTCTCTCTCTCTCTCTCTCTCTCTCTCTCTCTCTCTCTCTCTCTCTCTCTCTCTCTCTCTCTCTCTCTCTCTCTCTCTCTCTCTCTGTCTCGGCACGCACACGAGCTGCGGCCGTGCCGCCGTCATAGTGGCGAGGCGCGGGACCGTCTGTGGCGAAGTGGGTCGCGTCCCTCGATTTTGTTCAACCCAGTACCCGGTACCACCCACTAACCCAGCATCCACACCCTTTACTAAAGGCTTTACGCTTTACCCGACAAACCTACCCGCTTCCCTTTACCCCGGCTCCCCCGCCGGCGGCCCGAGCGGCGGCAGCGCCACCGAGTGGACGTCCGGGTCGTAGTGCTTCCCTCCGAGCGAGCGGACGACGTGCCTGTCGTCCGAGGTGTCCAGGCCGCGCGCCCGCCGCAGCAGCGCGATGGCGTCGCTAAAGGAGGACATGTACGTGCCCATGAAGGCGGTCGCCTCGACGCACGTGAGCAGGTCGACCGCCGCGCGCTCGACGCTCGTGTGCCGCGCCTCGCCCTCCGCCTCTCTCTCCGCCTCTCCCCCCGCCGGCTCGGGGATCGGCGCCGCGCCGCGCAGCCGGAGCGGGAAGCGGCGGCCGACCTCGCGGAGCGTGAGCGCGTTGTCGGTCGCGCAAAAGATGGGCAGCGGCGCGCGCTCCTCCAAGAAGGTGAAGAAGGCCTCGTCGGGCGTCCGGTCGCCAAACATGGCCGTGTGGTCGGTGCGGCGCATGTGCACCGCGACAAACGCTCCGCCGCACGCGGCGACGTTGGCTGCGGCGGCGGCGCGCACGGGCGGGAGCGGCGAGAGCGCGGCGTACATCGTCGCCTCGGTCTCCGTGTACTTGATGGATGGGTGCGAGTCGTACACGGAGGCCTTCGCCGCTCCGCCGCCGGCGGCGAGCGCCTCGCGGTGCGCCGGCGGCAGCTCGCCGAGACCGTGCAGCATGACGACTCCGGGAAGCGGCTCGAAGAGGTCCTCGAAGGGTGAGTCGCAGGCGGCACCGAGTCGCCACAGCACGACCAGCCGGCGGCCCCGCTGCACGGCCGCCTCGCGGTACGAGAGGACGGACCGGAGCTTGTTGCAGAGGCCGGCCTCGGCGCAGATGAAGTCGACCATCACGAGCGCGGGAGAGGTGCGGTCTGGAAGCAGAAGCGCTCAATCGTGGAAGGGCCGGCGTCGGATGCCTGAGCACGACGCTCGTGAAGACTGCCGTGTGCGGGCAGTCGAGCCCGGCCGCGAGCGGGGTCGCCTCGCCACCCCACTCGGCGCTTGGACATATTCCGCCGATAACGATTGGGGTGGGGGCCCCAACTCGTGGTAGGCCACTAGTTTATCGTAGGGTACTCACGGATACCTCTCCTGAGTCCCTCTCGTGTGCCCTCGCGCACATCGCATGCGGTCTTCACTCAGCCTCCGCTGCTGTGAACACCAAACTTGCACTTCAGCTGGCGCGCGCTTTCGCCGCCTACTTTCGCGAGCGCGCTTGGCCCTTGCTCCTCATGCGCGGCGCTCTCGCTGCGCTCTCTCCCTGCTCATGGGACCTGATGCCGCGCCACCTCTGTGGCCGCTCCATCCTCTCTGACGGCGCCAGCCCTCCGGCTGCGCCATCTCTCTTTGGTCTCGTTTCTTTTTGAGAGGCTGGCCACGAAACTGCCTTTCGGGGCCCAGAGATAAAACTTCTGATGCCACGCGTGACCTAGTAGTGTCCCCAGCTATGGGCGTGTCCACGTTGGAGCCAGGTGTGGTGTGGACGCCGCGAGAATAGCTCCGCCGTTCATGGAGGCAACCGATCGATGCGAGTGCCGAGTCGACTGGTGTGTGTCGTCGTGGTTTCGTATCAAGAATACTCACTCACACGCACCCTCTGTGCTCTGAGAAAGCTGCTGGATGCTGGAAGAGGAAGGACTGTAAGTGACACTCTGATCTTTGTCAGGTCACTGGTCAGGTGCCAACCAATGCAGTGACAGGCTCTGACCCCGCCACAAGCGTGTCAGTTGCGAGCGGTTTCCTGCCACTGTCGGATCACCCGGCGGAGTGTGTGGTTTGGGAAGAGCCGAGTGAACTCTAGCTCCTCGCCGGTCAGCGGGCTCGTCGACTTGGTCGCGAGCCAGCGCTCGATCGCCGTCCGCTCGTACGACTGCCCGTCCGCCGCCATCACCGGGTCACTCATGACCTCGGTCGTGATTGGGCAGACGAAGTCGGCCGGCGGCTCCTCCTCCTCCACCGAAAGCGGCCTCTCTGCAGCCAAAGAGGACGACGCTTGCTCGTCGGGCGCCCGCCTTTCCTCCTCCAGCCTCGCGCTCTCCTCGAGCGCCGCCGCCAACTCCGCCATCTCTCCCGCCGCCAGCGCTGCCTCATCCTCGGGCTCCCGCGAAGGCCCAGCGCCTCCACCGCCGCCCTTCCCCTTCTTCTTCTTCTTCTTGCCCTTCTTGCTCTCCTTGTCGCGCCCGCCCGCCTCCTTCTCCGCCTCCTCCTCCGCCAGCAGCGCCTCGGCATGCCGCCTCGCCTCCGCCTCCGCCGCCGCTCTCTCCGCCTCCCTCCACGCTGCCTCCACCTCCGCCGCCGCCGCCGCATGCTCCTCGAGGGCGCGCACGCACTCGGCGTGGCCCTTTTCCTTGGCCATCTGCAGCGCGGACTTGCCGCTCGCAGCGCGCGCCGTCGTGTCTGCGCCCGCCCGCAGCAGGCGGAGCACGACAGCGGCGTGGCCGTAGCCGGCGGCGCCCATCAGCGCGGTGCCCCCCATGCTATTCTGCTCGTCAACCTCCGCGCCGCGCTGCAGCAGCAGGTCGACCACCCGCTCGTGGCCCTCCTGGGCGGCGCCCATCAGCGCGGTGCCGCCTCGGCTGCCATGCTTGTTGATCTCCGCGCCGCGCTGCAGCAGCAGCTCGACCACCCGCTCGTGGCCGTTGGTGGCGGCGTCCATCAGCGCGGTGCCGCCTCTGCTGTCCTGCTGGTTGATCTCTGCGCCGCGCTGCAGCAGCAGGTCGACCACCCGCTCATTGCCGTAGAAGGCGGCGCTCATCAACGCGGTGTAGCCTTCGCCGTTCTGCATGTTGATCTCCGCGCCGTGCTGCAGCAGCAACTCAACCACCCGCTCGTGGCCTTGGCTGGCGGCGCCCATCAGCGCGGTGCCGCCGATGCTGTTCTGCTGGTTGATATACGCGCCGCGCTGCAGCAACAGCTCGACCATTCGCTCGTGGCCAAGCTGGGCGGCGCACATCAGCGCGGTGACGCCGCTCCCATTGCCTACCACGGAAGTCGCGTTGACCCGCCCGCCGCTGTCGAGCCACGCCAGCAGCCCCGTCTCGTCGCCGTCAATAGCTGCTGTCACGGCCGAAGAAGCCGCGGCCGTCGATCCCGCCGCCGCCTCGCCCGAGGATGCGCCGCCCGCGCCGCCCACCGCCGCCTCGCGCTGGCCCGCAACACCTCTGCGACGTGCTGCCGGAAGGCCTCGACGCACGCGGCGTGGCCGTTCTCCTTGGCATACTGCAGCGCGGACTTGCCGCTCTCAGAGCATAACGCCGCGTCTGCGAACGCCCGCAGCAGGCGGAGCACAACGGCGGGGTGGCCGTGGCTGGCGGCGTCCATCAGCGCGGTGCCGCCTCGGCTGCCCTGCTTGTTGATCTCCGCGCCGCGCTGCAGCAGCAGCTCGACCACCCGCTCGTGGCCGTTGTAGGCGGCGGTCATCAGCGCGGTGACGCCGTCGCTGTTCTGCAGGTTGACATCCGCGCCGCGCTGCAGCAGCAGCTCGATCACCCGCTCGTGGCCGTGAGCAGCGGCGATCATCAGCGCCGTGTCGCCGTTGCTGTTCTGCAGGTTGATCTCCGCGCCTCGCTGCAGCAGCAGCTCCACCACTCGCTCGTGGCCACACTGGGCGGCGCGCATCAGCGCGGAGAGGCCGCTCACAAGTCGCGTTGACCCGCCCCCCGCTGTCGAGCCACGCCAGCAGCGCCGCGTCGTCGCCTTGGATAGCTGCTGCCGCCGCCTCTTTGGGAAGGCCGCCCAGCGAGCTGGAAGAGGCCGCTTCGCCCGAGGAGGCGCCGCCCGCAACGCCCGCCGGTGCCTCGCGCCGCCCCATCATTTGTGGAAATTTTGGTGAGTCGTCTCAGTCTCCGGTGTCTCAATAGATCCATCACTCCGTCTCACTTCCGTCTCACTTCCGTCTCTGACTGCCTTCTCGTCCGTCTCAGCGCGGCAGGCTCCCGAGAGTGCCGAGATTGCCCAAGATAACCCGTGCAACCTCATGAGGTGGTCGGGGCAGTGTGGCAGGCGCCCGAGAGTACCCGAGATCGCCCTCGTGATGTGGTCTGATGTGCAGTGGTCACCTCGGGGCAGTGGCAGGAGCCCAAGCACGCAACCTCGGGCAATCTCGGGCATTCTCGGGCGCCTCCCACTGCCCCCCACATCACGACGTTGCACGGGTACTCTCGGGCAATCTGGGCACTCTCGGGCACTCTCGGGCGCTCTCGGGCGCTCTCGGGCACTCTCGGGAGCCTGTCGCGCTTGAGACGGACGAGAAGGCAGGAAGAGACTGCGTGAGACGGAAGTGAGACGGAGTGATGGATCTGTTGAGACACCGCTGAGACGGCAGGAAGGAGAGACGGAAGTGAGACGGAAGTGAGACGGAGTGATGGATCTGTTGAGACACCGCTGAGACGCTGAGAGTGAGACAGGGACGAATTCACGTGAGACTGAGACGACTCAACGTGACGCCCAACGGATCATTTGTGCACGTGACGCCAGGGTTCCCCTAAGGATAGGGGATAGGTACTCGGTCGTCCTATTAAAATGAACTCGGGGGCACGGGACGCGGCACAAACGGGGCACAAACGCCAGGCTACAAAGACGGGGAGGCACGTACCTCTTTTGCACCGCTCTTTATACTCGTTTATTCACGAGGCGACCCCAGGGAACCGTGGGCTAGGTTCCCCTTTGGGCGTGCTGTGAACAAACAGCGAAGAAGACGCCTGCCTCTTTTGTAGGGAAGGGACCCGCTTTCTTTTTTCGTGCTGAGGCTTGGGCTGTCCGAGGTTTTCCGGCAAACAAAAAGGAAAACAGATTGGTCCCCAGCACTTTGCGTTTCCGGAAATTTCCAGGGAACAGAGGGTTTTGGTGCTCCATTCTGGAAACTCGCGAGTTTCCCTGAGAGCTGAGATGCTGAGTCTGAGAGCTGACCTGGGGCAACATCTGAGGCAAAATTGAGGAAATCGACAAAATACCCAGCTCCCAGGCGATCGCAGGGTAATTTCCAGGTATACACGGGTTCTCCGCAAAATTCCCGGCATTTTGCCGATTTGGCCTAAAATTTGGCTGATTTTGGGCCCAAGCCAGCCTCAGACTCGGCTCAGAGCCCAAAATTTGACGATTTCCACGGAATTTCCGGAAATAGATAGGAAAAGAGAGGGTGTTGTAGAGAAAAAAGGAAAGGAAAACAGACGGGGTGCGAGAGGCAAACCTCGGACAGCCCAAGCTGGGGCCCTAGAGGAATCCTCGGACGACCCCTGACGTTGCGAGCGGCACTGCGATCACGCTGCATGGCTCGCACTCGGTCGATGGACGATGGGAGGCGAGCTTGCGAGAGTCACACACGACACACACGAGCCGACAGGGACACAGACACAGACACAGACATAGACACACACACTGCGCTCCCCTCAGCGGGCAGGGAGACGCGAGCCCGACGGAGTCTGGTGGCGGGGGCCCACGCAGCCAGCCCCTGCACTGACATGGTTGGTGCTAAGCCGCCGCCGCCGCTCGCTCTCGAACTGCGTCGCGCTGCTGCCCGTTCCCGGAGCGCAGAGCGCGATTTTGGTGGCCAGGGCCTTGGCCCTTGCCTGAAGGGGGGCGGGGCAGGGGGGGAGAAGATGAGGACGTCACCGAGCGGGTGGAGCTGCCGAGAAGGTGGTGGGCGGGGCATGGATGCACCTCAAATACGAGCGAGTAGCGGGAAGACCGCCCGCTACGGCTTTACTCCGGCGGGAGAGTGGCTGCTCCCCCTGCGTCGAGAGCAGCCGCCGCGCGTGCTGCAGCGCCGCGCGCCGGCCGGCCACAATCAGGGAGAGGCTGGTGGGGCGAGGCACGAATCAAACTCCCCCGGGTCCTGTGCTAACCAGTCGTGCGTCGTGTGACCGCGGGCGTGTGCTGTAGTGGGTGCCCTGAGGCAGTGTGCCCATGTGCTGAGCTGCTGACGCAAGACCCAAACATGTGCGAAAGCAAGACCCAAAGATGTGCGAAAGCAAGACCCAAAACATGTGCGAAAGCAAGAGTGCGAAAGCAAGACCCAAAACATGTGCGAAAGCAATAAGCAAGACCCAAAACATGTGCGAAAGCGAGACCCCCCCCCCCCCCCCACTCCCTCTCCCCGCCGAGGATCGACACGACACTCACCCAGTACTACACTCATGCGAACCGAGCGGTACTCATGCGGCACGTGACTTGCGTCGCGGGAGCGGGCACGAATCGCAGAACTTGTGCGGGGGCTTTCTCAGGGGGCAAGGTCCAAGGAACCGCGCGATTTCAAAAACCTCGCGCTCCCTTTTTCACGCAAGTGGGAAGATGAACGATCTGGATCTCGCGGCCGCTGCTGGGGGGGTCAGACCCCCCCCCCCTAGCAGCAGGGACGGGCTTAGAAGTGCAGGGGGGGTACCGAGCAATGTGCGGCCGCTCTTGCCGGTAGCCGTCGCAAAAGCTATGGCCTCGCCGACCGGTATGCTTTGCGTCCCTGCATCCACGCGACGTCTCAGCGCGGCACGTCTGCCCCTCGAGGTGGTGCTGCTCGAAGAGCCGCGTCCGCCGGGGGCGGGGCCCGACAGCAGGCTCGTCGCGGACAGGAGCGTTCCCGCCGCTTAGCTGTCGGCTGGCGCCGCCGCTGCGCTGCCGGCGCCGCCGCTGCTGGGGCGCCGCAACTATACATACGCCATCGCGCACACCGCATTTTTGCATGGTTGCACCCACGAGCCACGTCCCCGTCTGGCGCCTTCCATGTTTCAACATCCATTGCTCACTTGCCCTCCCCCGAGTCGAGCAACTTCTTCACACTCGGGTAGATGGGCGTCGACGGCGTCGCGCCCACCCTGCCCAGCCGCCACTCGTCCCAGCGGTACCACGCGTTGGTGAGCGCAGCCACCCTGGGCAACAACAGACGCGCCAGGCCCAGCTTCCACCCGGGGAGTCCAAGGTCGTCCAACTCGAATGGCCACTCTGTCGGGCCGCGCCCGCGCTCGGCGACTTGAGCGCACGTCCCGCGCGCGCGCTGCTGCTTTTCTGCGTGGAACTCCTGCTTCCGAGCGAGCATCGCACCCTCAGCCGCGCGCAGCGAGCTCAGGTCGGGCCTGCCCGCGTCGTCGAACGCGCCCTCCTTCTCGAGCAGGGCCGCCAGCTCGTTGGCATCCTGCATCGCGAGGATCCCGCCGCCGCCCAGCCCGCAGTTGAGCAGTGAGTCGCCGATGCAAACGAGCGGAAGCGCCACGTCGTCGGCCTCGCGGAGCTCTGTCTCGCCGTGTGTGAACTCGCCGCGCACCTGCGGTCATTGAGCCGAGATTGAGCCGAGATTGAGCCGAGATACACGCAGAGGAGTGTGTGTGAACTCGGCGCGCCCACCGTCACACGATCGAGGCTCCGGATCGCATCGCGCCACGACTCGTCGAAGACCTCGCCCATGTCATGCAGCACCCACCTCTTCACCTTGTCGAGCCGTTCATCGGTCATGATGCCCGAGGCACGTGAGCTTGGTGGGCTGACGCCGATCTCGTCGAGGAGAGACTCGGCGCTGTCGAGGTGGTTCAGCTGGTAGAAGCAGCACGTGCGCCCGTCGTTCGACCCGGCGCCGAAGCGCTGCAAAAAGATTAGGTATCCGCGCCCGTAGCCGGCCACGCTGCCGTACTTGCGCAGCCGTGCCAGCAGCGGTGCGCCGCAGGCAGCCTCCGGCGAGTTGATGACGCCATGGATGTGGACCGTGCCGCCAAACGCCTTTCCGCCGCTCGCGTCCACTACTCGATGGTGCCGGAGAGTGGAATGCAGACCCATGGCGTCGATGATCAGGTCGAACACGCCGTGGCTCTTGCCGCTGTCGCCAAACAGCTCGCAGCCGCCGTCCACGTGCAGCCGTGCGTCGCGCACGGCCGTGTCGAAAACGACGCCCGTGTTTGCTCGCGTCGCCATTTCGTCGAGCAGGATATCACGCAGCGCGCCCCGGTTGGTCTCCGGCCGTGCCGCAAATGTCGCAGGAAACAGCCAGCGCAGCAGTGCCGGTCGGAACATGACCCCGGCGGGCTCAGGACCGTGCGAGCCGATGCGGAAGAAGGCCATGTGATCGGAGTAAGGCTGGCTGCAGTCCCAGTACCTGTGATAGACGCCGGCTCGCGCAAGCGCCTCCTGGCCATTTGCATCTAGGTCCAGCCCATACCCCTGGTCGCGAGCCGCCGGCGCCCGCTCGAGCACCGTCACATGCACGTGCGGGAGCCGGCGAGAGAGGATGCCAGCGAGTGTGAGGCCAGAGATGCCAGCGCCAGCGATGCCGACTCGAATCGTCATGTATGATGTCGTGCAGCAGGTTGGGGACCTTGTGCTGCTCCCATCCTCGTTTGCTTTGGAGGTTTTCTTCTTTCTTTTCGCGCCAGTCTGCGCCCTTGTCGTGCCAGTGTGCTGTGAGAGAGGCTTGTATCTTAAGAATTCTTTCTTTTACGAGAGAGTTCTTTTGTTTAAATTCTTTTACGTCTTTTACCGCCCTGGGCGGGGCTGTCCCGAACGAAAAAAAGTGCCGCGGGCAGCGTGGCGCATCTACTTAACCCTTTTGCTTCATAAGGGTCCTGAGGACCCAATCTCGATATATCTCCAGTCGTAGCGGTGGAACTTTAAAACGCTAAACGGCTCGGTAAATATTTAGCCATATATGAGAGGATTACGCCACAGTGTCGTTTGAGTCGACAGTAAATCTCCCACAGCCCACGTAAATCCGTCTTTTTCAGGCACCCGGAGCCCTCCGCGGCCGCTTCTACGCCGGCGAAGCACCATCAAGCTGCTGTACGGCCCCGGCATCGCCTCCCCTGGCTTAGCTCTCAGTCAAGATATTGTGCACATGGGTGGCCTCTACAATATACTCACTGACACTTAACCTCCCAGAGCTCGTCCCGGTCCGTCACGGCCATCCTCGTCCTCCGGCGGGCCCCCGGCCGCGGCGCGGTGCGGCGGCGTCACAAATCCGAACGCAGAGCACCGGGACGCGGTCGGGCGATCTGAGGCCCAGGTAGGCGAATGCATTGCCCATCCAGGGCTATCACCTGGACCTATCAACAGGCGCCTGCGGCGCCGTGCTCAGGAGTTGGTTTTCACTCGCTCGAAATGTGTACGTAAAAGGGTTAAGATGCTGATGGACAACACGTGTCGCGTGTGATGGCTGATGCTAAGCGCCCGGAGGAGCGCCGAGACGCGAGAGAGAGAATAGAATGAATTCATGGGCGTGGCACATTTAGAGAAGTGAAGGGAGGGAATTGGAAAAAAACGCTCACGACGATTCACACGAAGAAATCGTACCGTAGGCGAGGGCGCGAGCAGGAGCACGCGAGGCAGCAACACAACCAACGGCTAGTGCCATTTCACTGTGGCACAGCCCGCGTTACAAAACCTTGATTTTGACCATTGCGCGAAAAATGTACCTCTCGGTGCCTTCCAGTGGAAGCTGCGACCTCGCCGAGTAGACGGCGGCACACAGCAGGTGGCGCGGTGTGCCGCCGTCTACTCGGCGGGGTCGCAGCTGCCTCTGCGCGTCCTGGGGAGGTACATTTGTTGCGCGCCGGAGACGACTCGACGCCGCTGAGATCAGAGATCAAGCTCTGACAGGTCACACGTCGCTCCTTTGACGCCGACGTGACTCACCCGTGCAGACCACATCAGGACACGGTCTCGACGCGCTCGGTACGACGCCTGCGACCTGTCTCGGGTCAGGTGGCACGACGCTCATCGCGCCTACCAGCGCTGCCGTACAGGTTGCCACGACGAGGTCGAGCACGCTTCTATACGCTCGCCGAGCCTTCCTTTCCATCCCAGTAGGCAGCCTGGGAACGGTGGCGGTCAGAGGCAAAGCCTACGAGGGGTGGTGGAACCACATGTCACGGCTACTGGTACTGCCGGCTCCACCCCACGATAGCCTCCGAACAAGGCTGACTTTGCGGCACCATCATCGGACGATGTCGACGAGTTGGGTCGCTCTCGCGGTAGCCAGATGACCTCTCTTCCTAGGATCATCGGCCATGGCCGCAGGAAGCGCGGGGGAGGGCGCTGGAAGCAACACGGAGCTCCGTTGGAGACGTTTTCAAGATTAGCGTGTCAGAGTGAAATGGCACTAGCCAACAGGCCAGTCTCGCCCCCTCGTCAACATGCACACGAGACCCCTCGCGCCTGGGCGTTAGTCGGGTCGTACGAGTACGTAGCCTGCCCGCCACCGAACGAGTTCCCGAGCCCGCTCAGGTCAGCCCAATAGGAGGGCGACGGCCGATAGGAGGGCGGCGGCTCAGCAGCATTTCGGATCGGGCTGAGCCGCGAAGAGTAGCCGCCGAGCGGAGCCTGCATGCGTGCGGAAGGCAGCCCAATCGGCCCAAGCGTCGTACCTACCTCCCAGCGATGGCGCTATCGGCGTACCTGAACAGTCGACACAGCCGCCGCCGTAGCAGTTGTAGCAGTCACTTCCCACCGTATCAATCGCTTCGTTAGAGCAGCGGATCAGCGAGCAGAGGGATGCGGGTGTCGGGCATGCTTTCTCCGTACAGGCCGCCATGGCCTTCAGCCCGTTGTCTGGGCAGAAGCAGGTGTTGCATCCGTCGGCCGAAGCAAAGTCCTTGCCGGGCTCGCAGGTGGCATGCTCAGAGGGTGGGCCCGAAGACTCCTGCAACACTCGCCACGCCGCCCCAGTGCACTCTGCTTGGGTGATGAAGTAGCAGCCGGCGACGACGCCCGCGAGATTTTCTTTGCAGTTCAGGTCGTATTTGCACACGAGGCCCTCCGAAGAGGCGCCACAGGCAGAGTTTGCCGTCGGCTGCTCGGTCGGACACGGCTTACTCACGCTCGTTGCGCAGATGGTGCCCTGTTGGAGGCAAGCAATTGGCGTGCAGCATGCCGAGTCAGACTGTCTCTCAAGCGGGGCACCGGCCATGGCGAAGCCCATGCCGGTCTGGATGCCCGTGTTCATCAAGTCCTGCCAGGTGGGTGCCGGCGCCGCAGCTTTGTCGCCGACGCAGGAGTATGCGCTTTGGTTTTTTGCGACTTCGGCAAGGTCGGCGCATACCGCGAGCGCGGGTGGGAACAGGGTGAGGAGCAGACCGTAGCAGAGCCTCAGGGGTGGCGACATGGTGGCGACAGCGGCACGCAGCGAGCACAACCAAGCGGCGGTGTACCTGCGTACGGCGATGGAAAAAGCAACGGCATCTTCTAGTCAGCCCTTGCGGCCCGCAGTTTGTTTTAATTCTTTTTCTCGCGATGGCTACCCCGGCGTGCCGCCGCTCGCACCGCCTCGCCGGCGCCGCTGCCACCGCCGCCGCCCGCTCGCCGGACACGCCGCCGTCCGTCCGCCTCCTCGACTCCCCACGGACCTCCTCGTGCGCGCCATCCCAGCCCCAGAGTGGCCTGCTCGAAGGCCGCCCTGCTCTCGGCACGTGCGTTGCTGACTGCGATAGCACTGTCTGACAATTCACCCAGAAAGAGCCGTTGAAGAGCCGTCGAGCTACATCGTACATGAAGTTGAGACCCAAATCGTCGTGGTGGTGTGACTGTGTACTTGTCCCCACCTCCTCGGCGACACACGAGAGGCAAGCTCGTTTGCACACGGACCCACGACGCCCCCCGGCGCCTCACTCTGAGAGGTTCGAGTAGCCCTCCGCGCGCGGGCGCGGCCGGGCGTGCGACGGGGCCGTCAGTGACTCGACAGCCGGCGGCGGCAGCGGCGCGGGGACGAGCGGGAGCGGCGCCGCACCGTCGGGGGGGGCGTGCTCTGCGCGGGCGGGGGAGCGCGACGCCTGCACGATTGCGTGCTCCAGCGAGCTCCAGCGAGCTCCAGCGAGCTCCAGCGAGCTCCGGCTCGTGGTCCCGCGGCGTAGCGCCTCGAGGCTCTCCAGCGCGGACCTCTCGTCCGAGAGCGCCGTCGAGAGCGCCGTGGCGTCCGGGGGCGGCTGTGCGAGCAACACGGGTGGCGATGTGGACAAAGAGCGGCGCAAGCCGCCTCCTCCGCAGCTCGCCCGGCCCGCGGCTGGCTGGCTGTGGCCTAGGCTGTGGCGGCCCGCTCGAACCCGCTGTCGCTCTGCGGCGAGCACCTCCTTGCAGACGTGGCGCGGCAGCACGAGCAGGTCGCAGTACGTCGCGCACTCGGCGGTGGCTTGCGCGACGGGCGGCGCGCAGGCCGTGCGGCCGTCGGTGCCCTCGAGTGCCCGCTCTCCGAAAAAGTCGTTGTCGCCGAGGGTGGCGAGGAGGGTGCGCTCTTCGGGCAAGCCCCACTTGACCCACACGCGCACCGTGCCGCGCCGCACGAGGTAGAGCGTGTCGACGGGCCGCCCCTCCTACACGCGCGGCCGATCTCGGGTGATCTCGGGCAAGCTCGGGCGGTCTCGCGCCCGCACCCGCCGGCCGAGGACCTCCACGAGCAGCTGGCCGGGCATGCAGACCATCGGCTGCAGCTGCTGCACGAGCGCCACCACCGCCGACGAGGAGAGCGGGCGGAAGAAGGGGCAGTGCTGGAGGAGGTCGCCGTAGAGCGCCATCGTCAGGCGCAGCGAGAGCTCGCGCGGGAGCCCGGCCAGGTCGGAGCCGATCTCGTGCATGGCCTGCTGCGACGAGGAGAGCCGGTAGGTGAAGAAGTCGAGCACCTGCCGCTGCAGACCCTCGGGCACGTCGCTGCGCGCGAGGAAGCTCTGGATGAGCTCGAGCCGCTTGAGGACGTGGCCGCGCTTGGCGTCGAGCGTCTGCAGGGCTGCGGTCGCCGCGGCGATGGTGACAATGTTGATGAAGAGGCCGACGAAGAGTCCTCCGACGGTGAGGGCGACCTGTGCCGGAGAGAGAGAGAGAGAGAGGGAGAGAGGGCCGTCGGCGCACAGCTGAACTACTCGACCCTCGGCCAACCTCTCGGCTGTGCCTCTCAGCCGCCTCTCGGCCACCTCTCGGCTGTGCCTCTCGGCCGCCTCTCGGCCACCTCTCGGCTGTGCCTCTCGGCCGCCTCTCGGCCGCCTCTCGGCTGTGCCTCTCGGCCGCCTCTCGGCCGCCTCTCGGCCACCTCTCGGCCGCCTCTCGGCCACCTCTCGGCTGTGCCTCTCGGCCGCCTCTCGGCCGCCTCTCGGCCACCTCTCGGCTGTGCCTCGACCTGGCCGGTGGTGGTCGGCTCGACGTCGAAGGGGACGAGGCAGGTCATGAGGGAGGCGCCCCACAGGAAGGCGACCGCGTACTTGTCCCGCAGTCCCGCGGCCTGCAGCTCGGAGCTCGGACCCCACCCGTCATCGCACGCGGCGGGGTCGTCGTCGAAGATGTTGCACCCCGTCGTGCCGACCAGCCACCACAGGCAGCCGCTCCAGTGGCACGCAATCAGCAGCAGCGCCGACAGCTGCGCGACCCGGCCGGCCGCGTGGCCGAAGCGCCGCTCGAGCGCGAGGGAGACGTGGGAGTGGAGCCACGAGGTGGAGGGGCGGATCTTGGCGAGGTCGTTGCGGATCAGCTTCGGCACCACACGGCCCAGCCGCAGCAGCCGCAGCACGCGGACGATCGCCGGCGTGCCCGAGTGGTAGTCGCTGTCTTCGTCGAAAGTGTCGCCTCCGACGAACCAGGCGAAGGGGGCGGCGACGAAGAGGTCGAGCGCGAAGCGCGTGTGCAGGTAGTGCGAGCGGACGGCGGCGGGCTCGAGCACGACCATCCCGTCGAGGTAGTAGCCCGTGCGCATGGCGACGTACACGTCGACGAGGAAGATCACGTCGAAGCCGACGTTGGCGACCGCCCACGGCAGCTTTGGGTGGAAGTGGTCGTCGAAGGCGATCTCGAGCGGCACGACCACCGCCACGAAGGCGACGCCCAGCATGACGAGCAGCCGCCACAGCTCGTGCGGCGTCGAGTGCGGGACGAGGACCTCGGCCCTGCGCTGCCCCAGCGTGAGCGACCACACTGTCCACGGCGCGGCCAGCAGGCAGCACGCGCACGAGAGCAGGCGGCGAGCGCAGAGCGTGCAGCGATAGGGCGTGGCTGGTGCGGGAGGGAGGAGCCGTGCCGAGGAGTTTGGCGACGAGGCAATCGAGAAGGCGCGCGAGGCTGCCCGCGGCGGCGGCGTGCGAGACGACCGAGGAGGAGGCGCCTTCGAGCGGGTTGCCGCCGCAGCCGTCGACTCGGGAGCGGCGGCGACAGCTGAGACAGCTGCACGAGTAGAGCACCTCCGCAGCACTTGGTGCAGGTTCGACTCCCCCTCCGCCTCCTCCGCCTCCGCCACAGCAGCAGGAGCGGCGGTGCACCCGCCCTGCCCGTCATCCACGGGCTTTTGCTCCTCGCTCAGTGCGCTGTCGAGGCTCTGGCGCACCTCGTCCGGCTCTGCTCTCCCGCCGCCGCCATCGCAGTCTTGGAGGATGGCCGCGACGAGCTCGGCCTGACGGCGTGTGAGCTCTTGCAGCTCCGCCAGCTTTTTTGCGGCGGCCGGTTGCATGAGCACAGAGGTGAGGGCGGCGGCGGAAGCGGTGCGGGCGGCACCGCGGATCGGATACGATCGCGGTCTGGGACGTGCTGTCACAGGCGCCGTAAGACTTCGCGCGCGGTGAAAAGAATTTAAAAAAACGACGTGGGGGTTGCTGCGTAGCCCATCCCTCCAGGAGATGTCATCTGCTCTATTTATTTATTAAGAGAAAAGGGAGTCCCTTGCCAGAAGGAGGAGAACTAGGAGAGCGCAACCAGTAGGAGGCCCACGCCTGCCCCCGTGCCGCCGGGTGCAACTTTGTCCTATACGAGAGGGGAATCCCTGGGACCCTGTCGTGTGGGCCCTACCCAGCCCCCCTCCGTGTCGCGATGCGCTAGGATGCGCTCCCCACTCCCGTTCCCCTGTGTCCCTGATCGTCTCCTTCCAAGATCCTGCTCGTGCAGGTGGGGACCCTGTCCTCGTCCCATCGCCATCCCTCGTTTGGGTTCTCTGTTTTCTGTCTTCTCAAGAGAAACATGTGTGTTTTCTTTCTTTCCACATGGACTGTGATCGATCCCCGGCTTGTTTTGTCAGTGTTTGTGGAGAAGCTCGCATCCATGGGCGTCACGGACGGCGGAGGAGGTCTTCACCGACGGAGGCGAGGATGTGCGCAAGGGAGCGGTCGCGCACCCTCGGCGTCGTGGCGGCGGCCTGGCGGCGGCACTGCCCACAGGCTTAGGTTAGGTTAGGTAGAGAAAGGTGAAGAACAGTCTGGCTCGGACTGGACACCTACGCGATATGGGTGGACGCGGGACAGAAGAGGACGACACACAGACACACAAACTCACTCAGCCAACGAAGCTGGGCTGCCACACAATCCCGAGTAAGCGTACGGCACTACGGTCTGCGCTTCCTACTCAGGGCCACGCCCGGCCCCTGACCATGCCCCTGTCGCCCCCCCCAGCACCCACGGTGCCAAGGGCACAAACATATGAAACAACACAGCAGGAACAACACAAACAGGCGACAGGGCACGCGACCTTGTCCTCTCCCATCCCTCCTTTGCTTTGCGTCTTTTCATTCTTTCTTTTTCCCCGCGTCCCGCGGTAGTTGCTGCTGTTACCTCCCGGGTCCACACGGTACTCCCGTGCTAGGACAACAAGGCCCCACGGTACACGGCGTCCCGCGGTACCGGTAGGTGAAATAAATAAATAAATAAAAACGGTCAAACTCTGAGACGAGATGGGATTTAGGGACATGTGTCCCCGCCCTGCACGATCTTGGTGTGAGGGATCTTCAATCCGTCCCCTCACCCCCTGGTCACTACCCGACACTAGAAGAGCAGCAAGAGTTGGGGCTGCGGCTACGGCTGCGGCTGCGGGAGGGGCTATGGTCGCGGGAGAGCCGCTGCGCCGCGTGGGCGCGCCTACACCGCGCTTGCTCCGCTCGCCACCTCTCGCAAAGGTCCAAAGTCATAGCCATCACCTCCTCCGGCAAGTCCTTTTCGCCTATCTTGCCGTCCCTCCATGCCTGGTAGAGCTCGTCGTCATAGCCATATTGCATCACAGCCTGCTGCACTGCGTCGTGCACAACCCCTGCCACCCTATCCCGCGCCTCAGCGTCGGAAAATTCGAGCTCGGAGTCATACCCGGAAGCAGGCGCAGACGGCCGCGGCGATTTGGCAGGCGGCGAGGTGGGGGAGGGAGAGCGCGGCGGTGCGCGCTCGTGGCTCCCGCTGGTGCCAGAAGGGCCAGCGCCCAATGCGCTCAGCCTGTTCTTGTCCACCACCTTGGGAGAAGGGGGTGGGGGTCCACCTCCCTTGGGTGCGGGCTTGCGGTGTTCCTGCTTCCGCTTGCCCGACTTTGGCGGGTTGCGGCCGAAGTTCTTCATGGTGAACCTGTCCGGCTTGCCGCCCTTCCCGACCCTCGTCCACCCCTCGGGCGACTCG